AAATAACTATGCAAAATTATATAAAATTAAATAATGAGATCGTGATTGGAGGGGAGGCTAAGAGGGATGGGGTGGGACAAAGAAACTCACAGCACGAACGCCACTGAGGTCGACTCCGCTATGTTGGCAGATTAAGTAAGTTGGTTAGCAACGAATCCGCGATAAGTACAAAATGTCCACAAGTTATTCAATAAATGCTACAAACGCAATCAAGTTAACGAAGATACCCACAATTAGCGTAAGCAACGTGGCCAGCTAATATCAGATTACTCAGGTGGGCAGAATAAAGCAAATGAAGTGGAATGAAAATTATACAGCATAAAAAGACCTAGTTTAAGTAAGTTGGTTTAGCCTAACTGCGATGAAGAAGCATCATGAATGCAACATCTGCCTCAGCACCCATATCCCGCTGCAACGACGGTATCTGAACTGGTAACACTGCGAAGCAGCCTGAATTAATGTCGGCTTCTTGAGTTCTACCACCTACCCGCAATTCTTGATTGCGATTGAGGAACCAAGCAAATGTCTTCTCTGGAAAGCGCAACAACCAGCCTTGCTGCTTCGCAAACGCAGTATATCTTCATATATATATATATATATATATATATATATATATATATATATATATATATATATATATATATATATATATATATATATATATATGAGTGCGCTGAGGCTGATGTTGCATTCATGATGCTTCTTCACCGCAGTTGGGATAAACCAACTGACACTTAAACCAGGTCCTTTTATTGTGGATAAATTTGATTCCATTTTATTTGGCTTGCTCTGCGTACTTGATAATCTTCTCCCAACTTACACACGTCGCTCATGCAAATTGTGGTAAACTTGCGTAATTTTATAGCATGGTATTTTTTAAATAACTTTCGGACATTTTGTACTTATCGCGTATTCACATTTAACCACTTTCTTCCATATGCTCATTTAGCGAGTATTTATGTCATCGTATGCGTTTACTTTATTCGATATCGGCATTTCGAATGATTGGTTGTTGTTTGACATCCCAGATGTGGCTGCGCTTGATGTGCATGTTGACAAGGTGTCTACCTGTCTATTACCCACTACCTCGATTGCTGGCTCCAGGAGACAGTTGGTAGTTGCTGGAGGGGACGGGGTGCACGGTCCTTGTGGTTGTGCTAGGCTCGAAGAGTGGTTCCATGAACTCAGTGTGGAGCGGACTACGGTCCAGCCACCGCCTTGTGTGCGCTTGATTCCCCAACTACAGCGTGCTTGTGTTTGCCTGTGAAGGAGTGTGGGCCGGCTCCGTTGATGAAACGTGGCTCCCATCCGCATGTATCCCGGTCTTATTCCTTCGGGTTTACACTGGATATGGGATATGTGGATGGAGCTGTGGGTGGTGCAGCGCAAGCCATCCATGGTCCCAATGTAGGCGCAGGCGTCCTGTGGCTGGCCACAGTGACAGGCAAATCCGAAACCGGATGCTGCCAACTATATATGAGTGCGCTACTAGTTCACCTGGTCACTTCAAAAGCTCATCTAGGTGAGAAGTATGGACTTAACTCCGAACGGTCGGACAACGGCGAGCGTCTGTTGCAACCGTGTGCGGAACATCAGCTGTTTCTTAGTAGCACCGCTTTTAGAGGCAGTGGGCGTCCACTTATAGCTGAAAGCGATTGACCCAATTAGACGACATTGCCATAAGATACAAATGGGGTGGTTCCATCCTGGATTGTCGCGCGTACTGGAGTACTTGCCTCGACTCGGATCATGCGTTGGTACGCTATCGCTTTTTCATGAAGTTTAACGGGAGGCGCACCAAGCGTATTCCCGAATTGGCAAATGAAAGTACGAGGGTCATTCAATAAATAAGGTGAATTTTTCGGTATAAAGACTTCTAATACAGATAGAAGCTTACTTTTTACTTTTCAACGTAGTCTCCCAGCACTGTCACACAATTTTCCCATTTGTGCACAAGCTTCCGTATTCCCTCAGCGTAAAAATCTTGGGACTGATGTCTCAGTCAGTCGCTCACAACACTTCTGAATTCATCGTCACTTTCAAACTTCGTGCCTCTTGTGAACGCTTTCAATGGACCAAACAGGTGAAAGTCTGAAGGGGCAAGGTCCGGGCTGTAAGGGGGATGAGGGAGTAGCTCCCAGCCCAGCTCATTGATGGTCTGCACCGTTCGGGCTGCTGTGTGAGGCCTTGCGTTGTCATGATGCAAGATGAATCCTTCTGACTGATGACCCCTGCGTTTGTTTTTTATGTCTTTCTCGACCTGCCTCAGCAGTTCACAGTAGTTGTAACGGTTCACAGTGCTTCCTTTCTCAATGAATGTAATGGTGATTGGGCCTTGCATATCTCAAAAAACGGTGAGCATCACTTTCCTCGTGGAACGCTGGGACCTGAACTTCTTCACTGGAGAGCCTACGTGCTTCCACTCCATGGACTGCCGTTTGGACTAAGGCTCATATTGGCCAACCCATGTCTGGTCACATGTGACCACCTTCTTCTGAAACTCATCAACATCCTTCTCATAGCGGCAGAGACACTGCTGGCACAACTCGACCCTCCTATGTTTGTGCTCTGCAGTAAGCATCTTTGGCACCCACCGGCAGCTGACCTACGAGTAGCCAAGGTCATCATAGACAATTTTGTGTGCTGTCACAACAGATAAGCTCAAAGTCCTTGCAATGTCATCCACTGTCACCCTTCTGTCCGACTGAATGAGGCCATTGACTGATTCGATCACCTCAGGAGACCTCACTTCTGTAAGCCTCCCAGGCATGTCTTCATCCTCAACACTGCTCCGTCCTTCTTTAAACAATTTTGTCCACTTGTAGACATTTTTCGGCTGAAACATGCGGCACCATACACTGCTGACATTCTCCTATGAATTTCAACTGGTTTGCACTCTTTAGCAACCAAAAACTTGATAACTGACCGCTGTTCAATCCTGGAGCATGCTTCTTGGTCGGCCATCTTCGTTAATCGCTAAAACTCTCAAAGCTTTTTCAATCTGTAAAAGAAATTACATCCATGTGAAAAAGAAGTAAAACAATAAAAATAAAAAGTAAGCTTCTCTCTGTATCAGAAGTCCTTATACCGAAAAAATGTCAACTTTGAGAAATATCCACATAGCTTTTTCGTGAAGCGTCTCTGTACCTTCTCAAGAGCATGCTGATCAGATTTCCGCAGATTAGACTAGACCACTGAAAAGTATTCCATACACGGCAATACATATGTTTTGTAAAGCGATACGCGAGATTCCGTGAGGTAAAAATGAGGGCTGATGTAACTGATGGTCTTCATGGCTTTCGAAACATGGAAGTCCCAATGTTCATGAATATCGCACGCCTAAGTCGCGAACGTTCCTGCATTGCGATATATGCGTCTTGTAGTAATAAACTGTCTGGCGGTACTTGGCATTTGCACGACGAAATATTACTTGTCCACGGCAAATGACATTTGCCACAGTTGGCTCCAGAAGTCAAGGGCAGATAGGTCATCTTGAATGAGACGTACGGCTTCCTGCGTATTTGCACGTGGTTGTGAGTAGACAACTTTAATGTCATCAGCAAAGATAAATGCATTACTATTGCTTATTCTCCGGAATATATCGTTAATATATAGTAGAGAAAGAAGAGGGTCAAGAACACTCCCTTTAATCACTCCACTGGTGATTGCTTTTGGTTTAGAGAAATTGTCGCCGATGCGCACCACCTGTTGTCTACTAATCAAGAAAACATCGGTTCGCCAATGCCTATAGCCTTCAGTTTGTTCAGTAACCTTCTGTGAGGAACTTTATCAAAGGCTTTTGCATATTCTGGAACAGGGGTACAACACGGTTTCCGTTGTCTATGGCAGCCGTTGCGTAGGTTAAAAAGTCTGTCTGGCATATTGCGAAGGATCGACCTTGCATAAAGTCGTGTTGCGAATAGCTGATGATGTTAGCCTTGTTCGAGAATACAAATAGTTCATCTTTCATTATCCTTTCCATTATTCTAGATACGATGAGTGTGTGATTGATGGGACGAAAGTTCTTAACCTCGTAAGCAGCGCCATATTTGTGTCGCGGGATAACGACATTGAGTAGGGTATCCTCCGTTGTAAAGAGTGTAAAGATGTTGAGTAAAAGCAGAAGGATGTCACTACCACTGCTTTTTATTAAACGAAGAGGATCCCATCAGGGTCTGCGCAAGTTGAGGAGCAGAAGCGAGACTTGACTAGTGATTTTCGCTATAGTGAATTCCACTGTGCAGACTTTCATTGTTGTGCGGCATAATAAGTGCTGGTGTATCTGAGGATTCATTGACCATTGATTCGGCAAAACAAGCACTGAAAGCTGCGCAGATATCACCTGGTGCGTCGCAGTATGTTCCATCAGGCGTGGAGATAAAATATAAATTGTTGCTGCAACGCGAACCCAGGGCAGGGAATAGTTTGGTTAGCTCAGCGGTTTCGCTAAGGCCGTTCAGAGCTTTATACTCTTCTAGAATGAGTTTTGTCATTTTGATGCCTCAGTTGTTGACAAGGTGTAGGCGTCTTGACCCTGAATGTTTGCTTAGGACATTAACGTCTTCTCTTAAGTCCCCCTTCTCTCCTTATTGTTCTTCGTTCCGCATGTCGCTGCAGGTTGTACGGCAAACTTTAGTTCAAATGGCTGATGTACTGCTGATGCTGATTGCAGAGAACGGAAGGTGAAGCACTTAGGTTGCTCATCCGTCAAAAAGTGCAGACTGAAATGCCCACATCCACAGTTGATGATAACTTCTGTTTGGGTATCCTAGGGTGTTGATAGTGAATACTGAAAAATGACGTTGACTCATCGAAAATTTCAGTCATGGTACCATCTCGTAAAGTGTGATATTTTTTGGCTCCTTCGGAATTACCTGGCCAATGAACTATAAGCGTTTAATCTAGGCTATTTTGTTCCGATCCCTGAATAATATGCGCAAGGTCACAAAGCAAACCTTATTGAGTACAAAAGAATAGAAGCAAAATATCGAAAAGGATACGGTGCCCATTCACGCCAGAAATGCGAAAATCGTCTAGCAACTGAACAGTCTTGTTGCGAAAGGGGTCATCAGGAGCGGCCTCGCGCACCTGAGAATATGAGCGAAAAAGCAAGCAAACATACGCAAGTCAACAGTTTAATTTCATCGATGGCCGTTTCTGTATAATGTAAGGCACTTTTGACCACTTTCATCGCTACAAAACGTTTCACACTGCACGGTTATAGAAGGTGAGGCGATAAAAGCAGAACAAACTTCAAATCCCAGCATAACCAAACGGTGGAGAAATGTCCCCAGCCAAGCTTTCGTATAACGTGATAGCGACCATTATACACTTGACCAATTTTCACGGGATGGTAGCCACCTGTAGTGTGAATGAATGGAACATTGGAGACGGTAAAACCTTTGCAATAGTCCTTAGGATCCTCTTGCTCATCATCGTCACTGCCAAGAATTTCCTCCTCCGCGAACTCCTCTTCACGGGTGCAGTCACCATAATCTACGTCGGGTTCCGGATTGTGGACTTCAGGTTGCAGTGTAGTCGAGGACACTGGCCCATTACTAGAAAATGGAAGAGGAGAATCAAGATCATAGGAATAAAAAGGAGCGATGTAAGAAAAATGGCAAAAATAAACGGGAATGCACACAACCAGGTAAGCACAATAACGCTACAGCCGAAGTAGTTTTTGCGAGATGGAAACAGTAGATAACCTCTGGAAAATTCGTCAGCCAACTAGAAAGGTATGTTGCTCAACAGACCAGTACATGAAAGGAAGATACAGGCGTGGGTAAACGCTAGAGCCAGTAGAAGGTAAAAACACGTAATGCGCAGACACCCCGCTTAGTTTAAGTTGGAAAATAGACGAAGGAATGATATAAAAAGTAGGCAAAATTTGGAAACATGTGAAACAACTGTGTATATCGCCAGCGAGACGAAAACATGGAAGGGTTCGGAGGTTACAGTTCTACCAATTGAATGAGATCGGTCACAGGCACCAGGCCCGAAAAGTGTCCCATGGAATGAAAATAGAAAGTAGTAGCTCCTTGGTTCACTGAGCGGATATATATATATATATATATATATATATATATATTCACCAAGGTTTGGTTAAACCAACTTACACTTAAACTAGGTCTTTTTAATATGAATAAAACACATTCCGCTCTATCAGTTTGTCCAATTCTATTATTCTGTTGGATACTCTGTGTCAATGTTGGGTGTTTGATATCCCCGGTGTGGATGAGCTTGACGGGAATATTGGCAGTCTATTAGACATCGAACCAATACAGCGGAAACCAAACGGGAGGAAGACGAACACCTATTCGATTCGGTTGAGCGCAATGGATACGCAAGCAGCTTCATCCGCAGACGTCTAAACCACAAACCTACAAATAACGAGCCGATGCCAAACACAAGCAAGAGCGTCGTTTTGCTGTATAGGAAGAACATAACTAAATGACTGCTAAGTTGCTCAAACACCGCATCGTGGTTGCTCACAGGCCAACCGCTACTTTGAGAACAATACTGTCAAACCCAAAGGACAACCGGAAAACACGTGAACGGACAAACGTCGTGTATAAAATAAATTGTAATAATTGTTGAGTGAACTACGTGGGACAGACCGGAAGGAAACTATCCACAAGGGTACAAGAACATCAGAGGGCTTGTAAACAACATTATGCATCGCTTCTTGTCTCTGCGCATGTGGATGAGGAGGGACATAGCTTCAATTGGGACAAAACGGAGATTCTAGCTCAAGCAGCAACACAGAAGCATGCAACTCCTCTAATAATTCGATCAACATGCGCATCGACATCAATCCCGTGTACTATCAGCTCAGAAAGAAAGATCGCCGGCGAACAGAAAGACATGGTTCAGCCGCGGGAGAGAATAGGCAGAGATCCAGAGGCGCATATAGAAATTGCCACTTTTAAAAGTCACCTGCACGTCGATCACGGACTGACGATTGTACACTGCACATTGCCACACTGACGATGCTACCTCGCATGGTAGCGAAAGGTATGCAATCATTACACCAAGCTCGGAGAATCGATCAACAGGTGAGCAACCAACCTGGGCTACCAGTGTTCCAAATTATGTCGAGCCATTCAAAACTAAGCAGTTAGAAATCAAAGATTACACTTGTACTTAACAGATTTAGGATTGTCAAGGTCTTTTCTACCAGAGTAGGCAAAACGCTAGGAGTTGGTGAATGGAACCTTTTGACCGGGCGCTTCCTGGCTTGAAGGAAGCAGTAGCGAACTATAAGAAACGGAGAAGCTCTGCAATCGCCAGACAAACCTCATAGCTAGTATTTATTGTGCCAATCGAGCAGCTTGTAGCGCATGAGCTATAAGAAGCACACTGGTACAATGTACCAATAAGAGTTGAGCACGGAAAAACAGCGTAAAGACATAAAGTAAAAACGGTACAAGAACACTTCGTACTGCTTCCTCATTCAGATGCAACGAAGACTACCTGTTTGCGAGCAACGATAACACCAAATCAGGACCACATGTGCAGAGTTTGAAATTACACATCTAAGACCAGTATAACAGCATTGCCGGTGAAAACTACCGAGAGAAACGAGCGAAAATAAACTGAGAATTTGCTTAAAAGGGCACCACAGGTGTGCTGGAATCACGACATAGGGTTACTAATGTAAGCACATAATATACAGAATGCATCGACATCAGCAGCACTTTAATGTATGTCAAACGCAGACCCCGTGAACCAACGCCGCCCAGCTAGTCTCCAAATTGGATACAACAAAAAGTCATCAGCAGTACGCCGGACACACTGTACCGACGCTACACTGTCACGCAAGCACGTCGGTTGCGCGTGGACTAAGTATACCGCGAGGACGCGGATGCGAACCGATGATCTAAGGATTGCAGGTCAGGCGTGCAATCTCTTCGGTCATCGGCCGTCCAAATTGGGTGAAGATAATGAAGATAAAAAAAGGTCTGTGGTATATGCAATCGAAATTGCAAGTACTCGTAGAGACAACAACCGTCGTAGAGGCAATACAGTGTCATCGCCCGGTGCACATGGTGTATACCTCAAAGCAATCTGCTTCGATGTTACTAGCGAACGGTGCGAAAGACAGCAATCCTGGTCGGATTATTTTGCAGAGCATGTAAGAATGCGGGCTCCTGTAAGTACTGTAAGGGATCATCCGTGCCCCACTTTAACACCTGGCATGGTCATCAATGAACATGAGTCAGTAATAGTAATTTTCGATAGTCTTGAATAAAAAAGACGCATATCTTCGATCGCATAACACAGGCGATGGTCTAAACTGGAACCAACGCAGAATGTAAAAATTCTATCTACAGGAAGTGTAAAACATGAGTACATCTAGTGATAAGCAAGGCTATGAAGGAACTCAGGCTTGATGACCGATGATAGCGACTATGTCAGGTCGACCGTGCTGGCCAACGGGGAAATATGAATGGCTGCATTACGCACGTGCTGCTGGAGCGGTGATCGTCCAGCGAAGTAGTATGCAACAAGAGTAAAATAAACGCATGGCCTATCCAAGCGCGTGGCTGCCATTCCGTCGCAATCTACTACAATTGGGATGGAGAGTATCGCCGTGCGATGATTTGCATACATCAACAGTGTATTAAACTGGACTGCAGATTCAGTCATTCATACCAGAGTAGTCAAAGAATAGAGGCCAGACAAACGCCGTATCCTGGTGTACCAAGTCAGGGGTTTAAGTGACAGTGGAAGATATTTCCGTAGAACCGATTCCCGGCAGCCCGCTGACTGGCGGCCTGGTTTAGGGGTCAAACGCTTTCGTTTGGAATGCTAATTGTCCTCCTAACTAGGCCGAATGCTCTCCTGATCCTGAATGCACCTGATCCACCGCATCCAGTGGGGTGAATAGGAGTGGGAATGCTATTGCGTATGAACCGTCAGATCCTGTTTTTTGTCTTGCAATTCGTCAACCTCCAGGTTCAGTTACAGCTTCACTTCTAAGCACCCTGTTTTCCCCACTCCCCATTTGTTGACCCTCCTCCACCTAGGCGTCCGCCTTCCAGCTTCGACTCGCAATCCCGAGCGGCATTTCGGTACTGTCGACAAGTCCATGCCCAAACAAGCGGACAACCACAGTTCATCAGTTTCTATTTGAAGCCATCAATCCTCGCTAAGGCTGGCATGCTTCAATGTGCGCACATTGGTACATCTTGGCCCGAGCATTATACGCAGACTTGAACCCGAGCCTTCAGATTACAAGGCAAGCATGTTATCTTTAAGAATAAGGAAGGAAAAGTCGATCCGTCTTATCAAGGACTGCTTTGATGTCCAGGAACATGACTACGGTGGGTCACCAATAGAACTGATGGTACTAAGTAAATGGCACAAACTACAGATGTGATCAAAGCAGCCACGATTTCGACGAAACCCGGCATGCTTTTCACGAAGCTCGATTTCATAGGTGACATTTAATCTCCAAAAGACAATAGAGACAAGTAACCTAAAGATGATGGTGATCAGACTGATCTCTATGACTGATGCATTCAGAACGTGAGCCCTAATCATTTGGGAGAGTTTCGGGCTCTAGTGTAAAAACAAACAGTCTATCATCCGCAATAGGTCACCGAAATTGAAGAGGGCCGGAAAAGTTCACTCAATACGGCGGCCCTATTCAACTTCAGTGATCCAAACTTAAGTCGGCTTAGGAGCGCAAGGAGACGGCCCAAGGAGCGGAACGGCGAAGTGCTCACGCTAGTGCTTCAAGCGTTTCGATTCGTTATGGTTAGGCTATCCACTCGTCCCATATGGTCTCGTTAAAACCAAGTCTCCTGTTGCCCATTTCCCGTAACAGACGGAATAAGATCCGATGGTTACCAAGGACAGCGATCGTTTCCAATACTCACGCGCGGACCAAGTTTCACAACCGCATAGTAGGGCCGAACGTAAGGCCGCATTGCACATTGTGCCCTTTAGGGAGAGAGTGAGGTCGCGTCGGTGTCAGAGGTGGCGAAGGTTAGCAAAAGTGTCTCGTGCTTTTGCTATACGGTTTGTGACCTAATCTTCAATTCCAACGGAGCTGATACAGCTACCTAGGTAGTTAAACTTTTGAATGACTTCTAGCTGATCCTCACCAAGGGTCAGCGCAGAAGGCGGTACCTGCCAACCTTAGAGGAAAACTTTGCACTTCGAGGGTGAAAAGCATAGGCCGAAACAACTGACAGCCACTGTTAATCTGTCCACTGCAGGTTGACACGCTTGTGAACTGCAACAGATGAGGGGAATACCGTTAGCATACTCTAAATCAAGAAGTTGTTCATCTGAGAGCAGCTCTACACCTTCGAAGTCGCGTCATGTGAACGCGAACTCCAGGACTTCGTCAACAAAGAAGTTGAAGGTGACGGTTGGCATGCTTGTCTTACACCGCTGGATATTGAACGAGGGCGAGAGCTTGCCGTAAGTTCTCATTGTGCCCGAGCTACGCGCGTAAAGCGCTCGCATAATATTTATATACTTCTCAGGCACACCAGTCCTTAGCAGACAGTGCCAAACGGCATGTCGATCCACCGAACCGAATGCACCTTAGATGTCAAGAATCACGACTACGGTGGGATGTCAATATATCTGACGGTGTTCCAACAACTGGCGCAATGTGAATATATGGCCGGTGCATCATTCTCGACCTCGACGAAACCCTACTTGATACTAACCAATCTGGATTTCACGAGTGTCAGTCAATCTGTGAAGGATTACAGAGGCAAGTAATTTGGAGGCGATGGGGATCAGACTGATTCCTCTATGGTTGCTGCATTCCAAACGCGAGCCTTCTTTGAAGATCGGGACAATAACGGAGCGGCTCCGGTCGGTTGGGACAGTTTCCTGCTCTCACAGTTTCACTGGTAATTTGTGTAAATAATCAACAAGAACAGGGCCCCGAATTTGAAGAGGGCTGGATGAAGATCATGTGGTCTCGCAGCTTTATTAAGCATCAGTATTCCGATCTCACGTTCAACTACTGAGCGAGAGGGCGGATGCAAAAGGACAGTCGAGGGACTAGGGCGATTAATGGACGGTGAATAATTGAACAATTCCGGTCGATTAAATTGCGCAGCCCAACTCATCAATCGTCTTGACAAGTTGTGGATAGGCTGTCCAGCCACGTCATAAATAGTTGCTACTATCATCAGGTCTCCTGCGATGCGTTTCCCGTATCCGACGGAATAACTTCCGAAGGTTACTCTTCCAATCTCTGACGCACGATGAGACCACCAGAATTCGCAGTCGCTCTTGAAGCTAGCATGGTGTTTTGCCCTGATGTTTGCGAGTCTCGTGTTCGCTTCCAGCTGGAATGTGCCGGCGAGCATCGATAAGTTCCAGAGAATACGGAGAGACGCAATGCCTATTTTGGCTAGTGGATTTACCACATGATGATTTGCGTGCTTCTAGTAAGGTCTGGTGAAGATGCTCTTGCTCGAGCAGAAAGTTTTGGAGGCAACATCTCCAGCGGGAACTGATCATAACGCGATCAAGTTGCGCCTATGGAATCTTCGAAGCTTGTGGGCGTCATCTCACTCTTCTGCGAGTGTTGTGTATCAGAAGTTAGTGCTCGCGAGGAGCAGACGATCATCTTCACACATGTGTAACAACTGTCCACTGTTATCAACACGATAGCGTACACTGTGTTGACTGACTACATGCCGTTCAGCTTTGGACAATGCTCCAACTTGAGCGCATAGATCACCAGTCAGTGTTACAATATCCGTGCTTCTTATTGAACGAAGCCGCTCGCTTAGCTGGTGGCAAAAGTCATCTTCCGTTTCTGGTAGCGTAGGCTCCAATGGCAAACATGTTACTATTATCAACACGTGACTCCGGAGCCCTGAACGAGTCACCCAGTCGAATGGTACACATCCAGTTTCCGTAGGGGGTGCAGTCTACCAGATCAGCTTTACTCACGGAGCTCAGAGCACTATCCACACCCGCTGCACGAGCATTCGAAGTTGCATTATCTCTAGTTAGACGCAGTAAGAAGGCACCGCCAGTGTCACATGAAGACGATCGCAGAGTGGGCACAAAGCCCGAATCTTGTAGGCAGGTTTATGATAACCTGCAGATTTCCATCGATATGGTCTAGTGTTCGGGCAAGTGCGCCCGTTGGTCAAGCTGTAACAACGTGCGCACATTGAAGCATGTCAGCCTTAGCGAGGGTCGATGGCTCCAAATAGAAACTGATGAACTGAGGTTGTCCGCTTATTTGGGCATGGACTTGTCGACACTACCGAAGTGCCGTTCCGTGATTGCGGAGTCGAAGCTCGAAGGCAGACGCCTATCAAACCAACGTGGAGGAGGGCCAAGAACTGGGGGTAGAAAACAGGATGATTAGTAGTGAAGCTGTAACTGAACGACAAGGATAAAAGCCCTATGAGAGGAATAAGAACACGTCAAGGGTGTGACAATTCATGGTCGCTTGGGTCGTAAAATGTGAGGAGCATGAAATAATAGAGCAGTCCTGTTGCTTCAAATGTCGTGGCCCGCAACATAAAGGATCACAAGCCTGCCTTGTAACCAGAGGGCGCGGGTTCGAGCTTACGTAGGGGACTGGGCGATCGCCGAGGTATCCGTAGCCAAAGCGCATGGCAGTAAAGCGGTTACTGCGTACCGGCGTACTGTTGATACCTTTACATGTGGAGAAACTGTTCTGTCACATTCCCTTCAAGAGGAGGGAGTGGCGATAAACAAATACAATTGTTAGCCAACGACAACCACCAAGTCAAGGGAGAGTGTCATAACAGGTTGTTCGTATGGTGCTGGTTGAGCAACCGGCGAAGAGTAAAATTGTGATTGATGCAGTTGGTATCGGAGTGGAGGGAAAAGTAACTTTTACCGATTCAGGGGGCTGTGTGCAATCGCAACATGATGCGCATCAGCATTTTGGGTGAAAGTGAGATAAGACTGATACAAAGATGATTCGTACAGAACGTCCTTAGCCTCCTTTAAGAGACAGGAGTGATAGTTTACAATCATCAACTTGAGAACATTTACTCATGGCGCCCAATAGGGTCGAACAGATCAGCCAGAGTAGAAAGTGGTAGGTAGCTGATGTTTTTCAGTGAGGATGGATTGTGGTCTATCTTCGTGTCTTACTTAAGCAGCAATAGCTCGTGTCGGATCCCTTTGATAGTGCGGGTTGTTGGCTCAGGCGACCGCACAAGCAAGTTTGTCACAGTAGACCGGCTAAAATAATCGTTATAGTGCGCAGCAGAGGTTCAGTCGAAGTGGCAGACAAGTTTACTTTCTCACTCATGGGAACCTTCGTGAACCAAACAGAGAGCAAGATGGAAGAGTATTGTGCTTTCAATGGTGATGTTCTTCTCTACCCACTAACTCTCCGGGTCGATTCTAGGATAACAAGATAGGCGACGTTACGGACACCATGAAAATGATACCTCAAGCATATATATTGTTTCTACTAGGCGAATCGGGGCGCCAAAAATCAATCTACTATAAGGACGCTCTAATTTGGTTGGATGGGCGACCTTGAGTGCTTCCTTGCATGGTTCAGTGAAAGTGATCATAGTCAGCGTCCCGTTCTCTAACCAAGTTCGATAGATTGATGCTGTTTCACAGATTTCGAATCCAGTTGGCGGGAAAGTATCTTCAAAGAAAAACAAGTAACCGAAGTAGAAAGGGTATGCAGGCAAGTGCAAAGAATTCGTCAGTCAACGCAAGTAGACCAGAGCAAAGATTAATTTTGTACTAATGCGCGCCACTTAAGTTGATGATGATGTGTTTGATTTGGCAGTTTGTTATTGGGCACTCGCGCGTCAGTGAAAACCCGAGGAAAACAGTCGCCACTGTCAGTGTGACCACAGAAGCGACGTTACGACCTTAATACATGACCGGTTTGAACACACAAGTAGTCCATAATAATAGCGATATCCGCACCTTCAGCCCCTTGACATAAGGATCAGAAATGCCGACAGGACTCATCTATGGTAGCTTAAGTCGGTAGGGATTTAGGCCTAAATGACATAAACATCTTACCTCCAACCGTTGATACTTAAATTCGATTGGGCTTCGAATAAGTATCAGCAGTGCGCCGGTACACAGTACCGACGCTACCCCGTCGCGCAACTACCACCAGTCACACGTAGGCTAAGGATACTGCGACGGTCTCCCGGTCCCCTACGCAGGCTCCAACCCACGCCCTCGGCTTATAAGGCAGGCTTGCGATCCTTAAGACTAAGGGACGGCATTGTGCTTCGAAGTCGAATAGCATAAGTACTGCTGTTTTGTGGGAACTACACTAGAAGTCTCCACACGTTTGCTGACAGTAAATGACTCGGTCTAAGCAAAGAGGCGAAATGTACAAGGGGTCATTGAAACTCGAGTCCATATACGATAGGTGCACTAGGTCATCCTGTAAGTATGTTTCGTGGTAGCGCCGTGCCTCGAATCTGACAGAGTGCACAGTCATAGCGATTGTCGCATACTTACTGATATGAGTGTGCGTATAGTAAGAGTCTAAATGTGGAATGGTACTCTAGGTATGAAAGAGAATCCGATATCCTTGCTTGTGTGACTGATGAAGTGAGTGTTGATCTGATGTTGGTACATCAAGATGATTCGTGAGGAGGAAAAAAGGATGTAGGCGACACTCATCGGTTTCGCAAGTCTAAAAACGAGTTTTCTTCGAGTATCATCACCATCACTCATAAGTTAGAAGTGAGAAATAGCCTATCGAAATATGATGTCTAGCTTCAGTTAAAGTCTGACCCAAAAGGTATCGGATTAATTGGAGGCTTGCTTGATGGATTCCACCAGGAGTTGAGTTAATAGTATGAGACGAAAGGCACCGAGGGGGGTTTCTTCATCATCATTATACACATTAGCTATAGGCGGGAAAAATATCAGCAACTGTGCCGTAATAACTTAAAGGAAAAAAGGAATAAAGTGCAACAGGTACAACTCAGCTGAGCTACCGGTAACGGATGGGCATCGTTCCGATGAGCTACCAGCCGGCTACTATGCAGCAAAAAATACCATGCAAAATTATATAAGGCTAAATAGTGAGATCGTGTTTGGAGGGGGAGGATAAGAGGGATGGGGTGGGACAAAGAAACTCAGCACGAACGCTATTGTGGGGGTTCCTAGCCATATCAGCAAGTGTATCCAACCAAACGTGTTCATCGTCTTTCGGACCCCAACCAGGGAGTCGAGACGCTCCAACTGAGACCAGGTTCGAAATGAGAGCCTTCATTCCTCTCGAACAAGTCATCGCTTGGCCACCCCTCCTCTTCTTCCATCCACACCCCCGGCGCGCAAACAACGCACGTCGCGGGAGCCGGTGGACTGGCATGCGTAACATGTGGCCGAGCCATCGGAGCCTGGTGCATGAAATAACGGTGCTGAGCGGCTCATTTCCTTTTCCTGTGCCGTAAACAATGTGTCGAACAGGCTCGTTGCTTACTCGGTGTTCCCCCCAGATGTGATCCAAATTGCGAAAACACCGGTAGTCGAACGTAACTAGCCTCTTTATGTCCGTTGATCTAAGGGACCAGGTTTCACAACCGTACAGTAGGGTCGAACGTACCGCTGCGTTGTACACTCTACGCTTCAAAGCGAGAGTGATGTCGCGCCGGCGCCCCAGGTGGCAGAGATCAGCAAAAGCACCTCGAGCTTATGCTATACGGTTCGTAACCTCATCTTCGATCCCTCAGGCGTTGATACAACTTCCTAGGTAGTTGAATTTTTGAACGACTTCTAGCTGATCCCCACCAAGGGTCAGCGAAGGAGGCGATTCAGGCCAATATTGGAGGAAAGCTTTGCAATTCGATGGTGCGAAGCAAAGCCCGAAGTGACGGACAGCCAGCGCTAATCTTTCCAGTGCCGCTTGGCACGTTTGTGAGCTGTCAGATTAGGGCAATATCATCAGCATCTTCTAAGTCAATAAATCGTTCTACTGAGAGCAGATCTACACCTAAGTCGTGTCGTGTAAACGCCATTTCCACGACTTCATCAACAGCGAAGTTGTAGAGGAACGGGGACAGCAGTCATCCTTCTCACACCGCTGGAGGCGTTAAAGGGTGACGACAGCTTGCCGTAAGCCCTCACTATGTCCGAGCTACGCGCGTATAATGCATGGATGGCGGCATCCGGTTTCGGATTTGCCTGTCACTGTGGCCAGCCACAGGACGCCTGCGCCTACAGTGGGACCATGGATGGCTTGCGCTGCACCACCCACAGCTCCATTCACACACCACATATCCAGTGTAAACCCGAAGCGAATCCGCAGGTCAGCACATACAAGTGCATGATCGGTGTCTACACATGTGCTCTAAATCGAGCGACAGTTTTGGACTCAGCCTCTCCATCGGTAACGTATCGCAATGTGATCAATTTGCGTGCATAGCTGGTTCGAGGCTGGTGGGCGCCAAGTCACATTCCGGCGGGTGTTGTGTCGGAAATTAGGGCTCGCAAGAAATAAGCGAGCATCTTCACATAAATGAAGCAACCGCTCACCGTTATCATTACGGGAGCCTACACCATGTTGGCCGCCCAGATGCAGTTCACCAGTGGATAATTTTCCAACTTGAGCGTTCAGATCCCCAGCCAGCACAACAGTGTCCGAGCTTCCTCTGTCGCGAAGGAGCTCGTTCAATTGGCGTCGTCCTTTACCGAGTCACCGCTAGAGTTCGTGGGTGCATAGGCAGCGATAACGAATAGACATCTGTTAGTGCTGTGTGGCTTCGAAGCTTTGAACGTGCCAGCCAATCGGACCGCACACATCCGGTTAATGATTGGGATCCAATCAATCAGAGCAGCTTCAGCCCGGGGACTCAGGGCAATACCAACACCGGCTTGGCCGGTACTCGAAGCTGCCTCGTCACCGGATAGGCGCAATGAGAAAGTGCTGCTAGTGTCACCTGAAGGGGATCGCAGAGTGAGCACAGAGCTGGAGTCTTGCAGGCGGGTCTCCGATAAGCAGCAGATATCGATCGAGAGGGTCTCTAATGTTCGGGCAAGTGCTGCCAGTTGACCGATCTGAAGCAATGTGCGTACACTGAGGCATGCCAATCTGAAGGAGGATCGAGAGCTCCAAATGGAAGTCGATGAACTGGGCTTGACCGCTTGTGTAGACATGGGCCTGTTGACAGGGCAGGAATGACGCTCCGTGTTTACATGCGAGTTGAAACTAGAAGACAAGCGACTATTAAGGCAAGGTGGGGGAGGGCCAGGAATTAGGGGGTTGAAAACGGGGACAAAAGTGAAGCTGAAATAGGACGACAAGGGTGAAAAGGCGTAAGAGGGGGAATAAGAAGACGGGAAGGCTTGAGCAGTTGCATCTAAACCGCTATCCAACCTGCTCGATGCAGCAGATAGGGCACGGTTGATTATACTCTGTGGTGATCAGAGCAACAATAAACAGTTAGAAGAGAAATTCAAGGGGAAGTTCAGCTCGGGATTGCGGCTAAAGGGTCCAATTTGGAATCCTTTGAGATGGCATATACATCGTTACAGGAGATTGCGTGACATTTTGACCGTTGAGAAATATAAGTGACCATCCGCAGGTGCGTTTTACGGGTTCACACTTTGATTTGGCTTGGGGGGAGCGATGGTAAAACAATCAGCAGGGGTGACGTTTATTCGCCATTCGAAACAACTCTTAACAATGGGGTTCTAAACCAAAACTAGTTTATAAATGGCCAGGTTTCGAAGTTGAAAAATCTCCCTAAACGCCTATGGAAGTGGTACTGAGACTGGGTTGGCTTGATTCCAACCATTACCCAGTTTAGTATGAGTAGCTGTAAAAGTCATTGGAATGCATTGCTGTGACTCTCAATGGAACACGGAAGCAAACGAAACGCAGCAGCGCGTTAAAGCCCAATCCTGTGACGAAGGCACTCTGGCGCAGCTGTCAGTTTATCGCAGCTTCGTGTCCAACGATCCTACGCGGACGTTGAGTGTACACAGATATTTTGTGTTTTCGAAAATGACCCTGTGAAACAGACTGCAGAAAAAAGTCTAGATAACGATAGATGGCCAGTGCGGCGGAGAAGAGCAGAGGTGTAAGCACAATTGTGCGGGACTGTCCGACAACAATATGGGCAGCGCGGGATGAACAGTCGACTGAAAGATATGATAAATTATGCATTGTGACAGTTCGAGATCAAGAATGAATTGCGTTGCGTAAATTCGTTTATGTCTGAACACTGACTAATGTAATGTCAGTGCACTGGTATAACGGCAGATTACCCATAGTAGGAAACATCCGAAGTTGACTATCTTCATATACATACCACCACTCTAAGTGGAGCGTTTATT